TAGAAAAGGATTCTGTAACGCTCATTTGGATTTCTCACGGCACGACTCTAAAAACCGCTACTCATTTGTCTCCCACTTGTCTCCCATTTGTCTCCCACTTGCTGTTTGGGGTCGAGGCTGGTATAATTTATTAATTATAATAAGGAACCCCTAAAGCCTTATTCTTAGCTGAATAGCTTGCAAAAGTACTTCGGTAAAGGCCCATGTGTAATGGTGATACACCGCAAAACCCTGTTCTGAGTATTCTTGTCCTCTTCCCTTGTAGCCTCAACCCCCATATCCATCATTTCTCGAGCCCGCATGTAGCCTATTATGTCCCAGAAGCCCCGCAAGCTACAACTCTGATCCTGCCCTTTTGCTGCCTGAATCAGGTTGAGGGCTTGGGGCTTAGGGTTTAGGCTTAGGGTTTAGGGGGTTTACGGGTTTTGGGGTTAGTTGTGCACCTCAGCCAAACTCGGAGCCTGAAAGACGTCGATAGCTTCAAGTCCTCCAACCTGCAGAAATTGGTATTATTTCAACAGCCGAGCTATGGAATGGATCACAGGGTAGACACCTCGTAGGTACGAGTTCGCTATAAGGAGATCCAAACCGACAAGTGAGCCTAGAGTACCTCATGGCTAGTCTGCGGCCAGGTATAAGATTGAACAACTACACCCCGAGCCCGAGCTTCCTTAGACCCCTAATTTTAAAGCGTCCTAGACCCTAAAGCCCTAAAGCCAAGAACCTCTCAAACCCTAAACCCTAAAGCCAAAACCCTTAAACCCACACCCTCAGTCGGCAGGCAAGAAGTACCCACCAGTCTTCGGTAAGACGGAGCTCCAGCGGTACCTCCGCACCTGGTTGGGCAAAAGCGCCACTGGGCTCAACCCAAGGAGGGTCTTAAGGCTTCAGTTCAAGGATTAGGATTCAAAGTTTACGTTTTAGGGTTTTAAGTTTCAAGGTTTAGGGTTAAATGTTTAGGGTGTAGGGTTTAAAGTTTAGAGTTTAAGGTTTCGGTACAAGGGTTTAAGGTTCGTGTCTTTGGTTGAGCATCAAGGTTGGGGAGCTGGAGGATTCGGTTGCAGTCGTAGACGGGCACGGCTGACCCGAAGCAGGGCTTGCCGTGTAGATGCATACGGGGTCTCATTACGGGGGCTATCTATGTGCGTTTTCTGCAGGTTTTGTAAGCGTTTCGGATCGGGGACACAGAAACTAGACTTGAAAGCCCAGCTACAGCCCAGCGTGCAAAGGCCTTTATTTTTAGGATTTTGTGATTCAGGTATTTAAGATTTGAGGTTCGGGGTTTGAGGGTTTTGGGTTTTAGGGCTCAAGGATTTAAGGTTTAGGGTTTAGGGGTTTAGGTTTTAGGTTTTTGGGTGTCACGCCTTAGTGTATATGGCTTAAGGCTTGAGGTTGAGGCATTAGGGTTCTGAGCTTCGGGGTTTCTGGCAAGCCCCGCAGGCCCCCGCCCTACATGGAGTGCACTCTACGTAAGGGTACTATAAGGTGCCTGAATTAGGGTTGTAAGTAGATAGAACAATAGTTACCCTATTCAACAAACCCCTACTCACTACGACCCCTGATCCTCGAACCCTAAATCCCGATAGACATCCTAAAAGTAAACCCTGTAGAAACCCTTAGAGGAAACCCATATTCATATAGAAACTGTTGTAGTGGCATTACCGAGCCTTGCAGCCCCCAGGGTCTCGTTCAATGTTTATGCCCCGCAATTCCTTTGGCCGCAGGTTCGTAGTCTGAGTCGTCCAGCCCCTTATAGAACCCTTTCAAGGAACCCTTAAAGGAACCATCTTCTAATTATTAATTTAGGACATTTTCAGGTGGGAAGTTACCGTTATGGAAGCCTTATAGAAGGTCTATATACCTTATGGAAGCCTAAAAAAAGAAGGTCTATATACCTTATGGAAGCCTTATAGTAGAAGCCCTATATACCCTAAACTCCCCACCTGTAGCTTCCTTTACCCAGACCCCCAAAAGGATCTAAAAAATAGATCCCCTAAGGGGGTTCCTGTAAAGTACCCTTTAGTAGTTAGGGTCACTAATTAGGGGATCTATTTTTTAGATCCTTTTGGGCGTCTGGGTAACTGAGTCGTCCAGCTGGGCCTCCAAGGTTTTCCATGATACCGACCAGGACGCTGACTACCTCCCGGAGGCATTGGGCTTAGGGTCCAGAAACTTGTGGAATATGGCCTCAACCGACTGTTGAAACCCGGTGTAGGGTTTTAGGGTTTAGGGTTTATTTAGGGTTTAGGCCCTATAGGCCCTAAACCCTAAAACCCTAAACCGTTGCCTATTCTTGTTGTCATGGCCGTTGTCTTGTGTGGATCCGTGCCATGCCCGCCTGGTAAGCTTGTCTCCAATATTCATCATTATCGAAACCGATGTCCCAGATCAGCCAAGCAACAGAACACGTCAATGAAGATAGGGGCCTTTAAACTCTGAAGGGTTTCGGGCGCAATTCTCATGGATCCTGCCCGACACCCTAAAACCTAAACCCTTTCACATAAACCCTGAACCCTAAAACCCTACCAACGCCGCCATTTTTGATCCATCAACTCAAGAAGGTTTGTGGGGAGATCTGTCACACCGCCTTGAGGGTTCCGGGTCGGGGCTCACCTCTTGCGGTCTAGGCTTTAGGGTTTTTTGGGGTTTAGGGTTTAGGGTTTAGGGTTTAGGATTTGGGGTTTAGGGTTTAGGGTTTTTGGTATGACAGGCGCAGAAAACCTACCTGTTCAGGGTTCCTTGTTATGCGTGCACGTAGAGTTCAACGCTTTTCGGACTACTGTCTTACAGCAGCACATCGAAAATATCCCATGAGGTCTCTTGACGCCCGGTATCTGTATCTGAACATCTGAACACGAATCGAGTGTGCCAACACTCCTCAATTGTGGGGTACAACGGGTACAACCGCCACCATACATGAGAGCCCAGCCAAAACTTGACGGGATACGAATGTTCGTCGGCAGCCCAACGTCTGACTAAAGTTATAGAGCATCCTTCACAGGTTCACGTGTAGTTTCAGTTAAAGGTGTATTACTGTTGTTGTTTTTATTCATACTATTCTTCTTATGATTAGCATGAGTGTTTCGGAAAAGTTAGATATTGGGTACATACAGGTTTTACATGCGAAAAGACCAAGTAGGAGCTTCGCATAAAAAGGACCCCGCTATAGGCCTTCAATCGCTCCTCACGGTACCCTAAACCCTAAACCCTAAACCCTAAAGGCCCTAGCCCTAATCCAAAAGCCTTGAGAGGCCTACAACAAGGGCGACGACTGGTTCGAGGCGACCCTTGCAGGACCCATGGTCTACACCGGGGCGATCTACGCAGGTGCGAGGGTTTGGGTTTATAGGGTTTAGGGTTTGGAGTTTTGGCTTCCTTGGTCTAGATGAGTTCAGGGTTCAGGGTTTTAGGTGGAGCTGAAAGCAGGGTAACCCCAACAAGGGTGCGTGTAACCCCGGTGACCCTAAGTTGAGAGTACCAGATCCTCAGGGTAGGCCCTAAACCCTAAACCCTAAACGCCTAGGGGTTCAGGAGGTTTAGTGTGGAGTGTCTCAAACGAGCAGTAGGATCCTTCTCTACTGTATGGTCCTGGTTTACTCCGATTTCCCGGCATCGAAGTCGTACAGAAGACTTGACTATGAGATCCTTTAAAACGATCCTACATGGGTGGGTATGGACTTACATGCATACATGCATGCAGGCATAGATGCGTGCACATGTGCAGTTTTCAGGCACATACCTCCACACGGGCATGCATTCATGCAGGCTCATGCACATACATACGTGACACACATCGATACATGCATACATTGGTGCAGGCCGTCGTGCATGCAAACAGGCTCTATATCATCATGGATGCATGTACACTAAAAATGCATGCATGCATGCATGCATGCATGCATGCATGCATGCATGCATACACGCATATATGCACCAGCACGTGCATGGCAAGTGGATGTGGGCAAGCAGGTACGCCTGGCGTAAGTGTGGAACGTGCAAGGGACTTTGATCGTGCAACCCAGTAGGTTATAAGTTATAAATGATCATGTTCCTTAGGGGCTCACGCGCGCTAGATCCTCTGAATAAGCAGAGGTGAAAGAGCTCGTTGGGGTAGGTTTGGGGGGGTGGGACGTAAAATTCACATAGCAGTATGCCGATTCACAATAGCATACATCATGTTACTAGACCTTACATCGCACTATATCACAAGACGATTCGTTTGGAGTTTAGGGGTTATCCACCCTAAACCTAAAGTCTGAACCCTGAACCCTAAACCCGAAACCCTAAACCCCAGATCCTGAAACCCTAAACCCTAAACCCTAAACCCTAAACCCTAAACCCTAAACCCTAAACCCTAAACCCTAAACCCTAAACCCTAAACCCTAAACCCTAAACCAAGCTCGGAGAGTCGCCTTGGATTCAGGCAAAGACGAAACGATCTGGTCGGCTCAGCACAAGAAGCTGCTTGCTTGGTTTAGGGTTTAGGGTTTAGAGTTTAGGGTTTAGGGTTTAGGGTTTAGGGTTTAGGGTTTAGGTTGAAGGATCAGGGTTTAGGGCTTAGGGTTTAAGGGGTTTAGGAGTTTGGGGTTTAGGGTTTAGGGTTTAGGGGTTTAGGGTTTGGGGTTTAAGATTTTGGTTTAGGGTTTTGATCAGGGGGCGTAGTAGGAAGGAATCTTATAGGGTTCTATAAGGGCTGTGCAAGGGTTTAAGGGCTTCTTTGAGGATCGGGGGACTTGAGTGACATCTTATAACCCTACGTATAAAGGTACTTGTAGCCCGAAATACTCGCGAGATTTTGGCTGGCTTGACGCGGAAATGCAGGTATTAGGATTGAGGAAATCGTTTGAAGATCCTGATAAAGAGACCATAGCCAGACCGTAGCAAGCGTTTTGGTACCTTAGAATATCTGGGTTTGGGAGTACCATACTTTATTACTTTTGTTTGAACCTTTTCCTTAAAGGATCCATTATGAAATAGAAGTTTATACTTTTTTCTCCTTGGTTTCTTCAAACCCCAGATATTCAAGGGGGCTCTACATAACTACTTGTTGCCTGCTGGCTCGCCAGGGTACAGGCAGGTTAAAGCTCGCATGTGGAACTGTGGAACTATGCTCAAAGCACTAGCACAGCCTGAGCCTTTTGGGGAAGGTTTGTACTAGATGTAGCGTTGCTTTCGGTGAACGGTTTGCTCTTCCTTCCTGGACGTTCTGGTGCTGGTGAAAACCTATAGACCCGAAGCCCTACTTAAAGCTTATGAACCCCAAAGCGGTACAACCCCAGATTCTCACCAATCAGTTGCAGAAACTCCTCAAACAATCCCAAGAGACCCTCCCTTCCATAAGCCCGCCCTAAACCCTAACCACCCCCGCCTCCTTAGAGGATCATGGGATTTAGTGAATAGACGTAGAAGTACTTTAGCTGGGCTGTAAGTAGACTAGCTATCTTTCCCTTACCTGTAACGCTATGAGTGGACAAAGCTAAAAACCTTTACTGCTAACCATGCTTTCTAAGTCCCTGATCCTTTAAAACCTTACAGAACCCATATACCAAGAGGGTCCATAAATTGCCATAGATGCTACCATTATGGAATTAGGCCCCCAAAACCATAATCAGGATGGTCTTCCGGGACCTAATTCCACAACGGTGGTGTATATGGACCCTCTGGGATAGAAACCCCCCAAATCTAGGGGTCCAAATAATTTCCAATACTATTTTTGGCATTCCTTACTATAACAATTGTATAACATACCCCAAAACCCTAGTCTAATTAAGGCTCCTACCCCTAAACCCTAAATCCTAAACCCTTAACCCTAAACCCTAAAACCCTAAACCCTAAACCCTAAAGGAGCGGTTAAAGGAGACCTGACTCTAAGAAGAGCTATTCCCCAACTAGAAGCCCACAACAAAACCCGATAGAGCTTCATAGGGCTTTAGGGCTTGAGGGTTTTCAGGTTTAGGGTTTAGAGGTTTAGGGGCTTAGGGTTTAGAGGTTTAGGTGTTTAGGGTTTAGGGTTTGGAGGTTTAAAGGTTTGGAGGTTTAGAGGTTTAGAGGTTTCGGGTTTAGGGTTTAACGGTTTAGGGTTTGGAGGTTTAGAGGTTTAGAGGTTTGGGTTTCGGGGTTTAGGGTTTAGGGTGTGGGTAGAGCTTCCAATATCCCGTGATTAAGGAATATACCTTTAACCATTTTAGGGATCTTACTATCACGTAAGTACGTTCCCTAATTAAGGGATATTGGAAGATCTGGGTAGATGCCTTCCAACTGGGGCCACTGAGGCTCGAGTTCATCGCACATGCCTTGGGAGTGAAGCCTGGCGACAAGGCGTCGAATTTGGCTTCGGGGTATAGGCCTGTGTGTAGGGCGTCGAATTTGGGGACCCTGCTGCGGTTGAGGGGTTTAGGGGTTTAGGGTTCATGGCTCAGGGTTTAGAGCTTAGGGTTTTGGTTTTAGGGGCTTTAGGGGTTTTAGGGTTTAACGGTTTAGGGTTTATTGCCTTTGGTTTAGGGCTGTGACGTAATTACCTTGTTTGGGATCCTTCAAAAACTATTCCCCCAAATGCAAGGCGCCTTTGTGAACAGCTTCTGCAAACCCTTTTTCAACGTCCAACAGGATCTTATTCTACCTTTGAAGCAGGGATTAGAGTATGGATTATGAGTATCCCAGGAAACCGAAGTATACGCTGACCACCACTCTTCTGGAGTCTTGTACGCCCGCCAAAACCCGAACAAACACCTTAATGTATCATTCTCATTTGGACTGGAGCAGGTCTCGAACATCCGTAAACTAGTAAAACATCAAACCTCAATACCCTCACAACCCCAAACCCTTAAACCTCGAGGCCCTAAACCCTATAAACCCTAAACCTTCGACCTAAGCCTCAACTCCTAAACACTCGGAGCCCTAAGCCCTGACATGACCCTTTGATACAGGATAAGGTTTAGGGTTTAGGGTTTGAATGTAATTACGTGGTTTAGGGTTTAGGATTTAAATGTCAATGTACGGTTTAGGGCTTGGGATTAAAATTTGAGTATATTTGGTTGTGGCGGCTTATAAAATTTAGATTTAAATTGAATATGGGTTGGGGCTTAGAATTCATTTAAGTTTATGGTTTAGGGCTTCGGGTTTGGGGTCCATTTGAACCTTAAATTCTCAACCCAAAACCCTAAACCCAAACCCCTAAACCCCTAAACCCTAAACCCCAAGCCCCTAAATCCCTAAACCGGAAACCCTAAACCCTAAACCCTAAACCCTAAACCCCTAAACCCTAAACCCCTAACCCCTAAAACCTAAACCCTAATC